TTATACTATAGAAACAGACCTTGCCCTTCTTATTCTAGGATCACTAGAGGCAGGGGACCCGGGGGATTGGGGACAGGTGTAGAGAAGTTTAATGCTGATGATGTATCTGAGATACATTTGGCAGCAGCAGATAACAATTGTTCATTCTCAAACCTGCAATAAAACCTGTTGAGATATATGTATGTTTTTGGTGGGCACACATATGCCCTCACAAAAGCTAATGTATGATGTCACAGCATCAGTGTACTCATCCAGATCTGCAGAGGCAGCTTCAAAAACATTCCAGTCTGTGCACTCTAAGCAGGCCTGTAGATATAATATATCTTATAATAGGAGAATGGCACTTTGATATATCCTCTTCTTTAGGAAAAACTACTGACTCAAACACAGCTTGAATATACCAAACTCATGTTGTGAAGAAAGTCTTTGCTTTTGCTTTGCATTTTTGCTTTGGCATGGAGCAATCTTCCAACATATAGGTAGTCCTCGACCTACGATCATTTGTTCAGTGACTGTTCAAAGTTACAATGGTGCTAAACGAAAGATGGTTATGACCGGTCCTCAGAGTTCTGGCCGTCCCAGCACCCATGCAGTCACATGATTGTGATCTGGGTGCTTGGTCATACTTACAACCAGTTCCAGCGCCCTGCGATCATGAGATTGCTATTTGCAACTTTCCCTGCGGGCTTCCCCAGAAACTCAATGGGGAAGTCAGCAGGGAAAATTGTAAGTCACTGGGGTTAAGTCCCACCTGTGTCCCCTCCCCCAAACCCTCTGCACTTGTGCCATGCCAGCCACTCACGCACCCCTCACACCCTCCCCAACCAACACTACATCCTTGCATCCTTTCCCTGACCCTACCTTGCACCCTCACGCCCACTCCCCAACCCACATCTCTTGCGCACCCCCTCACATCCTCCTTGTCCCATGCCATACCTCTCGCGACCTCCTCACACCCTCCCCGATCTGTGCCTCTCATGTACCCTCTCATACACTCTCCCCAAACAGTGCTGCACCTCTCGCACACCCCCATACATCCTCCCCAACCCTCCCCCAACTCTTGTGCATCCCCTTGCTCCCTCCCCCACCCAGCATCAGCCACTTACCTGGGACTTGCAACTTCCTGTTGGCTTCCCCACTGACTTTGGTTGTGGGAAACCAGCAGGAAGTTGCCTTGTCTAACGATTGTGAGATTCAGTTAGTGACGGCAACTGGATTTGCCGTTGCTAAGTGATGCAGCTGCACTTTACGACTGCTTCGCTTAGCAACAGAAATTCCAGTCCAAATTGCCATCATAAGCTGAGGACTACCTGTATTGCTTCTCAAATGTTATAACAACATACTTATTCTGTTTGTTTTGTATATAAATGGTGTCATATTTCAAAATAAACATTTAATTTATCAACGTTTATTAAAAACAACACTTCAGTTTCAATTTAGAACATATTTAATAAATGCTTTAATATAGGTAGACATCGTTTAGCAACTGCCTTGGCAGTGACCATGCACAGCTATGACAGTGATGAAAAAGTAACTTTGCAACCAATGCCTGCATTTACAACCTTCACAGCATCTCTCTTCTCAGTGACATTTTTGCCATTACAGTCAGTTAGTGTGCACTGTCCTGTGCCTGACCCATTTTTTTCTCCCTCCTCCCTCGCGGAAAGATTGCCTAAACAAGTGATCTCTTCCTGAGCTGCTTTTCTCCACAGCACAGCACATCTCTAAAATGAGCCAACTGCAAGTTAACAAGCTCAGCTCTGTGACCTTAATTAGCCAGGTGGCAGCTGCTACCTGTAACTAACAAGATTTTAATCAGTTTCACACCTTTGGCTTTTGTTTGCCCCCTAAGCTGCTCAGGGCTCAGAGCCGGGAGCCCGCTAGGCAAACAGCCAGTGCCAGTGCATTCCTTTTGATATGTATTCCCCACTGTGTGCCTGCTTACTCTCTTATAATCCCTTCCTCTCCAATGAATGTAAATGCAAACATTAATTCTCTTCTTGCTAATTATCCCAGCACTGAGTTGAGCATTCCAAAGGCCAGGGGAGTGGGGAAAAAGGACTATAAGATTTGCCCTTTTACCCAGTTTCCTTGTGAGTCAGGTTCCAGAAACCTTCCCTGCTGTTTGGACTCACCCAACTGTTTGTATTCTTCTGACACCGTAAAGCAAATGAAAGCTGAAGTAAAATTGTAAACATAGTCATAGTCACATGATTTTCCACTTAGTGACTGCATCACTTAGAGACCAAGTTGTTGGTCCCAATTGTGGTCACTAAACAAGGACTACCTGTATTAGAAATGTCTTTAATATAAGGATTAGACCTGAATACTTTTAAGTACAAAAATATGGCAAGGCTCTTGTACATTTAAAAATATCTCCTTACCTTAATGCAGAGTAGACACCCAAAGACAGAGAAGAAAAATCAGGATCATAGTAGAGATACACAGACGATACACACTTTGGAAGGATGTCAATTACACCCACAGCAATTATCTTGCCCTCTAACCAATATTGCTGGTGGAAAGAACCGTAGCCACAGTCTGGACCATTCGGTAAATGTTCTGCCTAGGAAGTAAAGATCAGGATAGAAGAATCATTTTTATTCAGTTTGACTTTTTAAATTAGTGTTAGCAAGAAGGAGAAAAAAAGATTTATCACACAACAAAACAATGATACTAAAAAGGCAAATACTTTGGAAAATACAACATTATTGAGAAAAAGGCTCCTAATCAATGAACAATAAACATAGTGAGTTCTTACAAATTAAGCAAAATGATAGAAATATGAAATAGTGAGATGGAGGCAGTATCCAACGTTACGCAAGTGGATTTACATTCACATGACAGGATTTTCTCAAGCTGTCCTAGCTCTCCTTTTCCGTACATCTGCTCTGGAGGGCTTTCAACTGTCCAGAAAAGATTTGAAGGGGAAATGGGGCCTGTGAAAGGAGAATGTGTTCTACCAGAGGTGACTATTCTCATGGCAAGTAACAACTGGATGCAACATTAAGTATTTTTAAGCAATTCCTATGGAAATAATTATACAGAAGATCACAATATATTCAGTAAGTTCATCAGCATGAACTCATTAATAACATTTTACTTTCTGTCCTGTCAATTTCTTCATAGCCAAGGGGTTAGCATCTTTTATGTATAGTGCTGAGGGATTCATATTTTGAAGTCCCATTTCTACACTAAATGGTGCATGGATTTTTTTTCCTTCTTCCCTTTGCATTCTGATTTCCTTATATGTCTTGTGTTTTAAATTTGCAGGGTTAGAGGAAGGATTATTCTTTATTTGCTGATACTGCATAAACCATCCTAGGAACCTTCTCTGACGACAATGAAAAGTGGAGTAGAAATGTTTAAATAAATGCTATTAAGTTGTTATGAGGATTATATGGGAATTGATTACCCATATATTTTTTGGGAACAAATAAGTAAAAAATGAGTACTCTTCACAAATTAATATGTTTGTTTAAAATATGGGAAACTAACTACAGCAGGGTTCCTCAACCTCAGCAACTTTAAGATGGGTGGACTTGGGTGGACTCCCCATGCTGGCTGGGGAATTCTGGGAGTTGAAGTCCACCCATCTTAAAGTTGCTGAGGTTGAGGAAC